TGAAAGAAGGGTGTCCTAGGCAGAAGGAGCCGTAAAAGCCAGGGTCCTAGGGTAGAAGAAAGCTTTGGGGGATCCAGGAACAGTAAGGGCCTATGTGACTGGGGTGCAGAGGTGAGGGGAAAGGGCAGGGTTGATGCTGGAGACTCGATGAGGCAAAAGTGAGCAGTCACACTTTATTCCCAGTGGGGTGGAAGGCATTGAGCTGTTTTTAAGCAAGGTAATGATATCTCTGCTTGCTCAGTGGAGATTATTTGTAGGAGGGTAAGAGAAGCTGGGGACTCATTAAGAGGCTCTTAAAGTCACCGGATGGGTCCAAGATAGCAATGGAGGAGGGGAAGAGAAGTAGATAAATTCAAGAACTATTTAGGAAGGAAAAACAGCAGGCTCAAGAATCAGATGTGGGAACTGAAGAAAAAGGACAAGTGAAGAAGAATGCAGATATGTAAGCTCTGAGCAGGAAGACCTGGGGGGATATGCAGGAGTTTCATGTTGGCCTTCTCAAGTTGCCCTTGAGCCCCTCAGATGGACAGTGTATGAAGGAGTGACATGCCTGATTTCACTGGGGAGGATATCTCAGAAATGAGTAAAGTCACCTGCAGACAGACATGGAAGAGAGCAGGAAGGATGGGTTTATGGCAAAGCCAACTTATACTTTGGTCCCATTAAGAAGGGTCTGTTCTAGAATGAGGGAGGTGACATTTGTACTTTATGCTACTCAATCTTTCTGGATACTGTGCCTGGGGCTGGTTGAGAGGAACCAACCAGAATTAGGAAGTGTCTGCAGACATTATTTGGTGAGTGGGTTAGAAACAGGCTGTATTCCATCTGGAGTCTCTGCAGGCTGCCACAGGCAGGGGAAGGAGACAAGATTAGGGGCCCAGGGGGCCAAAGCACAGAGAGACAGGCTCCAGGTTGGCAGGAGAGAGAGGTTCCTCCCAGATAGGCTCACCAATAAGGAGGGAGCTCCCCATTCAGGGAGCTATGTGAGCTGTGAATGGACAGCCTCACGTGGAAGATAGTGCAAATGATCTCTAGCATTGGGTGGGGCTAGACTGTAGGATCAATAGGCCCCATCCTGTTCAGAGATGTGGCTTCCAACAGGGAACAGTGTTCCTAGGGATGACCACTGATTACAAATTGCTCTGTGATTTCCCCCTGTTGCCAGGTTGACAGCAATTAGAGTATCTTATAATAGCAGGATGCAGCCAGATCTGTTAAAGCCATAGAAAATTTCCCTTCAGGTCTCAGCTCCTTTATCTACTTCCTCATTCTTCCTTTCCCCTTACTTCTGTCTCCTTAACACTGTTCCCCTCTCTCTCCCCCAGCTTGTGCTTTTTGTTAGTGAACCTGTTCCCTACTCACATTCTAAAAACTGTGCCTTCTCCTCATAATTCATGCCAAGGCTTCTTGCTCACAATTCTGTGGGCCTCAGTTTCCCCATCTGTATGTAGAACAGAAAGGATATGAGCCCAGGTGATCCTACCCATTCCTACATGTCCAAATTCAGCTCACCCTTGGAGACTCAATGCCAATACTTCCTCCTGCAGGAAGTCTCTTGATCCCCCAGCTGGAAGCACATGAAGGTATCATGTTGCACACATTCGTTATCCTATGCTGACCAATGCAATAGTCACAGGTGGCTACTGAGCCCTTAAAATGTGGTTGGTGCCCCATGTTGAATATTTGTAACATATTGGGTTAAATAACATATATAATTAAATTGATTGCACCAGTTTCTTTTAACTTCTTAGAATATGTTAAGTGACCTACATGAATCACAACATATTTCTACTGGAAATGGCATTACATTAACTTTGTGAAAGCTGAGTGGCAACAACTACAACTGCTGTGAGCAGAGCACAGAGACTTGTCCAGGGGTACTTCCTGTTAGCATTCTTACTTGCTGAGAGGGGAAGGATACTTGAAGAGGGGAGCAAGGAACCACGCACAGGAGGGCATGCTGTGGTGGTGGTGCTGGGCCCCCATCTCAGTTGCAGGCTCTAGAAAAAAAAAAAAAAGCCGGTAGACACTGTGTTTTAAGGCAGAGACCAGGAAATTTCTAAGATGGGTGGGTGTGTGTTGTGCAGCTTCTCTTGGCAGGCATTTGAATAGCTAACAATGACTTGTTGCAGCCTAGGCATCCATGCAGTCAGGTCATGGTGAGCCCTCACTAAGCCCTCCTCCCTTCCCAGCCACATTGTCCTGATCCTCTAATGTCATCACCTCAGCCACGTGGGTATAACACCCAGGTTCCACCTACTATTCTGTCCACAGTTTACATGGAGGTGACCTGCCCCACACCTGTGCACTCTCATTGCAGACACTCCAGTCTATGAGCAAACTTGGTTCAAAGATTCTGAAACCACAAGGGGAGACAGCAGGACAACAGCTAATCCCAGGATGGAGCTGTCACCCAGACCCAGTCTAAATGGCTCCAAAGAGCTTGTTTCTATACTGGTCTACTGCCTGCTGCTGCTGCTGCTGCTGCTGCTGCTGGGAGCTGTTTTTTATTTATATCTCCCTCACAACCTCCCTCCTACACACACACACACACACACACACACACACACACACACACACTCTCATCATCTACTCTGCTCCCAGAGGCTGGACCCCATCATCAAGGAACTCTTGCTCACCCGCTTCTGACTAGACTCACCCATTTCCTTCCTTCCACATTGCAGTGAGCTGGCTGTGTTCCTCTACCTACAGTCAAATCTCCTGTGTGAGGCCCTCTGGCACAACTTGAGATCTTTTCTGCCTTTCAGGGTCCAGGGTAGGGGTGATTCCAGTAAGACTAGTCCCAATGCTGCTCTGTCCCCTGAGCCCTGCCCACACCCTTGTAAATAGTGCCTCCATCTGATGCTCTTCAATTGTCCCACTGAGGGGACATCTGTGTCTTACCTAAACCTGTATGAATGGCTCCTGGTATAGCCTAGCTTTGGCCTTCCTCACTCCACTCTCTTCAGCCTGCCAGCCACCATTCACAGCAGGCCCTTCACAGTATTGGTTCCCAGTCTTGGCTTCCTCACTGGGTCTGGTCTGACACACAGCCCATCGCTGGTCATTGTTCAGTGAAGGGGTCCTTGACTTGGCTCAAGGGCTTCTCAGAGACCATAGCTGTGCCATTCTTTTTCCATCTCTCTTACCCCAAGGCCTGGCACTCAGGTGGCCTCTGTACATTTTGTAAAGTGGTGGACTAAATGAAGTAATAAAATATCCACAGTCTGGTGTATATATGTATGTCTATATGTGTATGTAAGCGTGTGTGTATATATACAATACATAGAAACATACACACAAACATATATGCACACACATATACATATACATATATGCACATATCTTAAGAATATCTTCCATTTGTAAAGCTGTTTTAAAATGCCATATGCAGGTGGCATGGCGCGCGCGGCGGCGGTTCCAGGATGAAGAGGAGAGCTGGCCTGGGGGGCAGCATGAGGAGGAGATGATCGCCGGGTTCTGCTATGGCACATGGAACAAGCTATCCACTCCAGAGTCAAGCCCATACAGCTTAAAGGAGAGCATCATTCTAACATTTTCTGCCTGGCTTTCAACAGTGGGAACACGAAAGTATTCTCTGGAGGAAATGATGAACAAGTTATCCTCCATCGTGTTGAAAGCAGCGAGACCTTGGAAGTGTTTGCTCACAAAGATGCAGTATATGGCTTATCAGTAAGCCCAGTGAATGACAACATTTTTGCCAGCTCCTCAAATGATGGCTGGGTTCTCATCTGGGACATCCGGGAGTCTCCCCATGAAGATCCTTTTTGCCTGGCAAACTATTCATCAGCCTTTCACAGTGTCATGTTTAACCCTGTGGAGCCCCGGTTGTTGGCCACAGCTAATTCAAAGGAAGGAGTGGGACTCTGGGATATTCGAAAACCTCAGAGTTCTCTCCTACGCTATGGTGGCAACCTGTCCCTTCAAAGTGCCATGAGTGTGTGATTCAATAGCAACGGGATTCAGCTCCTGGCCCTGAGGCGTCGCCTGCCCCCTGTGCTGTATGACATCTACTCCCTCCTGCCTGTGTTCCAGTTTGACAATCAGGGTTACTTCAACTCTTGTACCATGAAAAGCTTCTGTTTTGCAGGAGATAGTGATCCGTATATCCTTTCAGGCTCTGATGATTTCAACCTGTACATGTGGAGAATTCCTGCATATCCAGAAGCAGGTGGCATTGGTAGAATGGTCAATGGAGCCTTCATGGTGCTGAAAGGGCATCGGTCTATTGTTAACCAGGTCCGATTTAACCCCCACACCTACATGATCTGCTCTTCTGGTGTAGAGAAGATTATCAAGGTCTGGAGCCCGTACAAGCAGCCAGGATGTACAGGAGACCTCGACGGTCGGATTGAGGATGACTCCCGCTGCCTCTACACCCACGAAGAGTACATCAGCCTCGTGCTGAACAGTGGGAGTGGCCTGTCGCACGACTATGCCAACCAGTCTGTGCAGGAGGACCCCCGGATGATGGCCTTTTTTGACTCGCTGGTGCTCCGCGAGATCGAGGGCTGGAGCTCTGACTCCGACAGCGACCTGAGCGAGAGCACCATCCTCCAGCTGCACGCAGGGGTCAGTGAGCCCTCGGGCTATACTGACTCCGAGTCCTCGGCCTCGCTACCCCGGTCCCCGCCACCCACAGTGGACGAGTCCGCAGACGGCGCCTTCCACCTGGGGCCCCTGCGGGTCACCACCTCTAACACAGTGGCCGCAACTCCTTCGCCTCCCGCTTGCGAGGACGCAACCTCCCTCCAGCAGCGCCTGTTGTCCCTGAGGCGATACCAGGACAAACGCCTCCTGGCGCTCTCCAATGAGTCGGACTCTGAAGAAAATGCCTGTGAGGTTGAACTGGACACGGATCTCTTCCCCCGGCCTCGGTCTCCCAGCCCCGAAGATGAGTCCAGCAGCTCCAGCAGCTCTAGCAGCTCCGAGGACGAGGAGGAACTGAACGCCGAACGTCCAACCGGCAGTGGAATGCCATGCGGCGCCGGCAAAAGGCGCCCCGAGAAGAGAAGCCCACTGCGCCGCCCAAGCCCGCCAACACCTACATTGGAGAAGACAACTATGATTATCCCCAGATCAAGGTGGATGACCTCTCCTCCTCCCCCACCTCCTCTCCTGAGCGGAGCACTTCTGCTCTGAAGATGCAGCCAGGCCGGGCATCACCGACTTCAGACATTGAGTCAGTTGAGCGCAAGATTTATAAAGCTTACAAGTGGCTCCGCTACTCCTATATCTCCTACTCAAATAAGGACGGAGAGAGCACCCTGGTGTCTGGGGAAGCAGAAGAAGGGAGAGCGGGAACCAGTCATAAGGACAGCCCGGGCCCTTCCTCCAGTAAGGAAACCTGTCTAAACCTACCCTCTGAAGGCCACAGCGAGGAAGCTTTAAAAGAAGGGACTTCTGCTAAAAATCCCAGCATTGCCCCAGGCCATGAGCACAGTGGCCACTCTTGGGCAGAGGCACCAGAGGACACCTCTCAGGACACTAACAATGGTGGCTCCATAGAACACTCTTTTGAAACTAAGAAGCTCAATGGAAAGGCTCTGAGCAAGGCCCTGAGCAGCCGGGCCAAGGAGCCATCCTCTCCTCCTGTCCCCAAGGCATCTGGCTCTTCTCTCAACAGTGAGTCTGGCAACTGTCCCAGGACCCAATCTGACGACAGTGAAGAGAGAAGCCTCGAAACCATCTGTGCCAATCACAATAATGGACACTTACACCCTCGCCCCCCTCACCCTCACAACAATGGACAGAACTTTGGGGAGCTGGAAGCAGTGGCCTGCTCTTCTCCAGGACATTCAGACACTGAGCACAATTTGTCCCTGACAGGAGGTCTCCTACACAATGGTTGTTGTGGGTCTGAAATGGCCTGTGAGACCCCCATTGCTGGAATGAGAGAGGACCCTCCTGACCCCCCAGGCATAGACAGCAGCAGGGCTGTTCATGGCCATGGTGGCCTCAAAAGGCACTGAGTCGAATTGGATGATACAGATTCAGAGAATTCCTCTTCAGAGAAGAAACTAAAAACATGATAAATACAAAGGGAAAACAAAAAGCTACAAAAAGGAGCTTTACAAAAAAATTTTTAATCCTGTTTAGTGAATACAGAGAAAAGGAAAAAAAAAAGTATTAAAGGCACATAAAATCAGGGCCTGAATTTTGTGTCTGATGCTGCTCCCTTCTATTCAACAATGGGTCTGATGTCTAGTTGTCCATTGGCTTGTGCTGTGCTAAGAAAGGGGAAAAATCCAAGTGACTCCTTTCTAGTAAAACTTGAGCCTAGTGTACCTGTGCAGATTAGATTCCGTCAAAGTAAACCCTTGTTGAGACATTTGATCTGTTCTTGTGTGTTATACACTGGTACGTGTGAACTCATTGTTTCAGACTTGTCCTTAGTTCTCCATTAGAAAAGGATCTATGGATCTGTGTTTTTTGCCATCTCATTTTGTTTACATGCCATAGGTGTTCTGGTCTTAATGATGAGTACCTGCTAATTCAGGTTGTGCTGCCAGTAAGTAGTGGATTTGTGCTGAAAGACTAGGGAGGAGAGGAGAGTCAGGCCTTCAACCCATTGGCTGTGCTGGAAAGAAAAGCATGGTTCCTTTTTAAAGAAACCTTCCATGTTTTCTCTCAGTAGCACTTCTACATTGAGCATTTAACATAGACGTACTAAAAGTGAAGCATTTTTAATGCCAATAAGAGGTTAGCACTTAAGATGGGATTTAAGAGAACATAGATTTCTGATAAATTTCACTGATTACAAATTGAGTGATGCTGCAACACATACTACATGGAGGCCATACAACATAACTAGTTGTGGGTGACACTTTAATCAGTTAGATACTTAGTTCTAAGAGATACTCAGAATGCCCGCAGACACTTCCTTGGCCCCGTGGGATGGTGTCTAAGCATATTGAAAAAGGGGGAAAGATAGCTCTCAAGAACTTTGTGCTCAACCTACTAAAGTGGATGCTATATGTGTGCTAAAAAGTGTAGTAAAGAGCAGAGCGTGGTACTATATTAATTTAATTCAACCCCAAATGATTGATGAGAATTGGTGGGCCTAGCATCTTCCCCCAGGCTTGCAATTGACAGAGGCTGTGGTGTTCTGACTAGATCTTGCAGAGCAGTGGACATCTTGAAGTAACAGATTCTTATTATGTAGGTCTGTTAGGAGGCAGAGTGTGTAGAGAGAGGAGTCACTGGTTTAAGACTCCTAGTTCCTAGAAGAGACTGTTTCATTGAGGTACATACAAGACGAGAGGGGAAAAGACCAAGAGATTTTCAACGTTACAGTGGTAGTTACAGGCACTTGGTTATCAATGAAGAGTTGTGCAAGACAGGAAGGACTAAGGATGACCAGATATCTTGTCATTGAAGTCATGAAAAGGCAGGAGAATAGTGGCAAGAAATGAGGAAGAGAGAGGAGAACACAATCACTTTCTTGGGCACAAAGGTGTTAGACAACGAGGAGCCCAGGCGGCATTGGGTGTGGGCAGGAGCCAACGTGTGACTGGTGTGGCCTCGCTGATCCTTTTAGAGGAGGACCTGTTCTACTGGAACTGGGACCAAGGGGAGACAACCTATGCAGGATGGAGACTCGGATGGATTTAGGCACTGGGGGAAGAGAGGTTATTTATAAATAGAAGGCTGTTGGTTAAGCCAAAAGGAGATAGCTTGCTAAGCTGTGTGAAAGGAGAGATGTGCCTCATCTGTGTGATGTGACTTGGGCGTGAAAACTGTCTTAGGAGACGGAGCTGAAGGAGTGTGAGTAGCAGTGGGGATGCTTACAATTTAACATTTGTAATCTCACTGGGGGAATAAAAATGGTTCTGTAACCATTAGAATTGCTTTTGATTTGTAATCAAAAAATGGTTTTATGATTTGTCTTTTGACTCTTCACAGATAATTGTAAATTCTGGTTTTATAAGCCCAAGTCATTTTACATTTGCTTTTCCAAAATTTATTTATTGGAATTTTTTAATCCTTTATATACTAAAAAAGAATAAATAAATAAATAAATATATAAAATGCCATATGCAGGTGGGATGATGGCGGCAGAATAGATGGACGTGTCCTGAGCCTTGTCCTAGAGAGGGTGAAGGGAACAGCTGAAATGAGTGGAATTCAGCTCGAATTTAGTGAGGAGACATAGCTGGTGATACAGTTTGCACCCAGGAAGGGCAGAAGTCCCCAGAAGTAAGGTAAAATCAAGGATCAAAGCGGGAGAATCTACTGAGCCTCTGTGTCCAAATAGGCAGGGGAAATCTACAGGGTGCTGGGCTGCATCGCTGAGCACAGGCTAAGCATTAGTCTGTGAGAAAATAAAAGGGGTGGGGGGGCAAGGAACTGCGGGAAGTTGGGGATTTTGGACCTTGGAGTCTGGATTTTAGATCTGAGCAAACTCTGAAAGGCAACTCTGAAAGGCTAGCTGGATCGCACAGTGCCAGCAAAAGAGAAGCTCTTGGGGATGCAATTTCTCCTCATGCTGAGGCCTGTGCCTTCTCCCACTGAACCTGTTTGTGGGACCTTTTGGATGCAGATACTTACCCGTGGCTGAGGTGCAGGAGAAGGTGAGGGCTTGTGGAATCGGTGATCTAGGGAAGGTGGTGGAGGGTCTATTGCTGAGTCATCTAATCCAGTTGCCATTTTCTCCTGAGAGATAGCCCCGCCCTCATCTCCAGGCAACCAACATAGCCATACCCAAATCACACCTTGAGTAAAATAAGAAATCTGAATACTCCCTGAAGATATAGGAAGGGCCTAAACACTATTATTTAGCCCCAGCAACCGGGGAAACCGACAAACAGAATAATACAGACAAATGGAATCATAAGCCAGCCAAAGGAAGACACTCTACTTTTTTTCACTTTTATTTTTATTTTTCCTTTTTTTCCTTCCTTCCTTCCTTCCTTCTTTCCTTTCTTCCTTCCTTCCTTCCTTCTTTCCCCTCTTCCTTCCTTCCTTCCTTCCTTCCTTCCTTCCTTCCTTCCTTCCTTCCTTCCTTCTTTTTTTTTTGTTTTCCTGTCTCATTTGTTGCTTTTCTTTTATTTCTGTTCACATTCTTTTTCATCACTATTTTTTATTTGCTATTTTTAATTTTTTATACCATTTTTGAAGTCAATTTCTTTTTGTAAATTTATTATTTTTTCCTTCTCATTCTCTTTCCTTTCATCCACTTATTCCCTTTCTACTTCTTCAATAATAAATTGAGGTCCTCCCCATATTCATCCAATTCTCAATCTTATTTTCACTATATAAGCTTAGCCTTTACAGATTCTGCTCCAATCCTCTTATTCTTTTGTCTTTTAACCCATATCTTTTTCTCTCTCTTCCATAGCATTTGTGCTCTCATTTCACTGTCCGATATCTCTTTTCTCAGGGGGTCAATTAATTATACTGGGGTTTTTGGTGTTGTGAGTACATATGTGTTTAGTTGCCTCAGTTTTGAGTCTTGTTGAGGTAAATTTTACCCGGTCAGGCCAAGGGGCTTGAGAACAAGCCACATAACCAGACACCTGGAAAAGAAACTTCATCCACGAAAGGGTCAACAACACCCCAGAACCAACTACAGGGGGAAGAAGAACGCAGCAGTGAGGGAAAGAGCATGAGTGAGTGAGAGAGTAAAGAAGAGCGTGTGGTCAGTGGGATATAGTTATGTAAGTGAGTGAGTGAGGCACAGTTAGATCCCACAGGACATTCAGATGCAGGCTAGTCAGGCTCACCTAACTAGGCAGCTTCTGTCACCATTGCAAACAGTACCAGAAGGCCAGCTTGTCCTAAGGGGCCTAGACTTTTTGAAGAGGAGAGCTGCTGTAACTGGGTTCCCAATCTCAACTCCAACCAGAGTGTCCTCAGATAACACCTGGGACTCTACAGCCACCCCTGCCCTCTAGGCACGCTATCTAGGCTGCGATCCCTCAGTCAATAAGGCTCCAGCTACCCAGGACACAGGCTCCTGTGAGTTTGGAAGCAGGTTGCCCTCTGACCAGCCCAATGCTTTAGCCCAGGGCACTTCAACCACGTGAACAACAGACACACAAGCAGCCTGCTCCTGTCCAAGGAACAACAGGCCCGCGAACAATCCACCACAGACCTAAGAACAGCAGCTTCACGTGACCTGCTCCTGTCCAAAGAGCAGCAGCTGAGGGAACAGCCAATTCCACAGCAACCTGATAATCAGCCCAACCTCTCCAAGGATCAGAAGCTATATGAGCAGCCTCCCCCAGCAGCCAGAAGAGGCACCACTGCTGCAAACAGCACCCACCAGAGGAACTGCAGCCAACTGAGAAGCAGCTGCTACCATAGAGCAACTGCAGCCAGAGAAGCTACTGCCACCTGAGGAGTAGCCCTTGCACAGCTTGACATTTAGATCAGTTGGTGAGACAAAAAGTGGGTAAACAAAGATCCCACTAAAGGAAAGAAAAGGAGGAAACACCAGAAAAGCAGCTAAGTGACACAGAGGCATGCAAGATATCAGAAAAAGAATTCAGAATAAGGGTCATAGAGTTCTTAAATCAGGTGGAAGAAAAAATTAACCCTATGAAAGAGTCAAGAAGAAATGGATGAAAAAATCAACAACTTATGCAAGAGTCAAGAATAAATGAAGAGTGATATAGCTGCAATAAAAAACACCATGGAAAGTTTCAACAGTAAACTAGGAGAAGTGGAGGAACGAATTAGTGAATTAGAAGACAAGGAAGCAAACACAGCCAAACTGAATTGTAATTGGAGAAAAAAATTAAAAGACAGGAGGAGAGCCTAAGGTAGCCTTGGGACAACATGAAACAAAACAACATAGGAATAATAGGGTTGCCAGAACAACAGGAAGAACAAGGTCAGAAGAAATATTTGAAGAAATAATGTCAGAAAACTTCCCTGATGTAGCAAAGAAAAAAGTCATACAAGCTCAGAGAGTCCCAAACAGGATGAACCCAAATAGACCCACACAAAGACACATCATAATTACTAT